GCGAAATTGAACTCAATTTGGTGGATATATATATATATATATATATGGATAAATGTTAAATGGATGGAAGTTTACATGGATTTACACATTATTTAGGGGCTCATCTGTTTCAATTTCTTCAAATCAAACATAGCCAAAATGCTTTATCAAAGAGGTGTGAAATGGAGAATGTCTAGCTTCCTTGCAACATCCATAGCAGCCATAAGAAAAGCTTTTGTTGGATCTTATTTGTAGCAATGCAACTATCTGTGCTACTCTAGTTTGCATAGGAAAGAAAATGGTAGTTGCCTGATATTCTTGATATTGTTTTGATGTTTGGATTGCCAGCTTTGATGCACTTGCCAGATGTTTTTTTTTCTCTATTTGAATTTATATTTTGAGCATTTACATACAAGATGAGAATTTATTATTTGTATTTGACCCATTTAACCATTGAGTGCAATATGAGCTTCTGAAAGCCATGCAAGAGAACAAAGATGGGACTTTAAAGAAATGACTGGGCTCTTGCTTTCTCCTTGTGATTTTGACATGTTATTTTTTCTTCTTTGTTGGGTCTCATTATAGTATGTACTAGTGCGTTATGGTGTATTTTTCACAATTCTTTGGGTAATTTTGTATTTCTGATGTGATGAAATATTTCAGTGATGTAAATATTTTGTATTATCACATATGTTTTTCAATCTTCGCATTTTCTTTTTTATGATTACGTTGAAAGTTATTAATTTTATGAAAAAAAATTCAAATAAGCTGTCTCCAGAAAACACAAAACAAACAGCTCTAGCTTATTCAGAATATGTGCAGTTTGGTCATTTTTTCAGAATCAGCTGCTCTCAATAATCACAAACCAAATAGACAAACAAATTATCCGGATCAGCTGCTTATCACCAGATTATCAGGATAAGCAGCTTATCAGGATAAGCAGCTTATCAGGATAAGCAGCTTATCAGGATAAGCTGGATAAGCTGCAGCTGCCCCAAACAGACCCTAAGTAATACTAAATCATAGGCTGCAATTAAATACCAATTAAAACTCATCTTTAACCGGATGCAACTTCTACTGGCCAATCTACAGAATTTTCACAATGTAGAGTGAAATTTTTTTTATTTATATCCTAGTTTGCTGAATTTGTGAAGGATTATTACAATGTTTGCTATAATCTGACCGGGATATCTCAAACTTAAAAGGCTGAGAATTATTTGACATTTTGACATGGTGAGGAATTAATCAACTTACAGGAACAAAATGAAATCATGTTCATTGTACAAATAAAGATGTGAGACAAATGAAGCTTAAGAAGTTAACTGCTTGATTTCTCTTTGCTTATGGTTTTCTGAAAGAAAGGGAAGAAATCTCGTCATTTTTTGTCTTCCTTTAGCTTTTATTTTCACTTTGTTTAAAATTCCAATTCAAAATCCTTTTTTACCTGATTGGCACTCCCTATTTACATTAATCAAAGAGGCAATCAGTTTTAATATCCATTCTAATGTGTGAAAATGATGCTACTGTAGGTAGTGGAAAGAGTTACTTGGCAAAAGCGATACGAGATATTGAGGTTGAGAATGGTGGAAATGCGCCTCGAATCCATGCAATGGATGATTACTTCATGATTGAAGTTGAAAAGGCATGTGAATCTTTCTTTTGTTTTGCTGTATTCAAGTGAATTTTTTTTACCATATTTTATGCATTTAGCTTTTTTTTTTTGCCTTTTGCTGGAATATTATCTGTGATTTTTAAATCGGTTGTTGTGTTTATTAGAAGGACGAGGACAATGAGGGGCTTAAATCATCCGGTTCTTTCAGAAGCAAGAAGCAGATTACCAAGAAAGTGATCGAGTATTGCTATGAGCCTGAAATGGAAGAGGTGATCCCTATCATTTAGTTTTTTACCATGTGATTATTTTTCTCTATCATTTTAATATCAAAGGTGCTTTAATGATGAAATGTTATTACAGGGGGCATTGTTAGGATAAATTGAGAATTAAGGGAGTTGTGATATTTCTATTTGTATTTTTTTTTGGCCAGATTTCTGGAATATAACTATTTTTTTATTTATGAGGATGATTTATCACTTGGTAAAATTTTCAAATTTTATTTTTTTTGGTCTTCCTGTTCTTTATTTTATAAAGAATTTCTTTTGGTCTAGATTTTAATTTGCGACAATTTTATTTGCAAGTTATTTATCATGATCCTTTTTTTCCTGAATTGAGTTGATTTCTGATCGTGTGTTTTTTCCTTGAAAGATTTTTGCTCTTCTTTGGAAGTCCTGACAGCAACCTTTCAATAAATTCAATTGACTGCTCTATTATTCTTCTTTATTCATCTATCCCATATTAACGTGTTTACTCCTTTTTTAAGCATGCCTTTTTGCACAAGTTTAACCAATTTTGTTATTTTTGGTTATTCTTTCACATTTTGCATTAATTTCACTATCCACCTTTTTGCATATCTTTTACCCTCTATTGTCAATATAGTCAGGCATCTAGCATTGCACAGCCAAGTTTTTGTTCTAGCAGTAAGAATTATATGATATCATTTTTGAATGTTACATGTCTGTCATTTGCTTTAATATGGGATTATAATTTCAAGAAAATATCTCCATTGAAAAAATTATCGTTTAAAAGGTCATGCCTTCTAGTGAAGATCATGACCTTATTTGTGCAAGTAGATTAGTTATACACCATTTGCTTATATGGGCTCCATTTCATCAGGCTTTTTGTCAGTTAATGTCATCAATTAAATAGTTAGAAATTGTAGGCTTAACGAGCCAGGCACTGAATAAAAATTACACTTTTTATTGTCATCTTCTAATATTGTATTGATTGCTGGCTACTCGGCCTCATTGACGCATTCAGATTAATGTCTTATGCTATGAAAGGTTCTACGAATTATGGAATATGCACTGTTTAAAATTACGAAAATTTACATACATAGCACAAAATTCTTATATATATACATACCTAGTCTTTCATATCTACATACATAGCTCTTTGGTGCTTTAAAACTCTGCGTGAAAAGGTGTATTTCAATTCTAAAAAGTGGTGATAGTGCTAATTTTTATGTGACGATGAAGATTTGAATGACATGTCTGTAAATATGAAAGTTTGGGCGTGAGATATGCATATACGTAAGAATTGTGTGATATGTAGGCAAATGCCCCTAAAAATTATTGATCTTACTTTTCAACTTATGGAATCTCTTTTCTTTTTAGGCTTATCGATCAAGTATGTTGAAGGCATTTAAGAAGACAATTGATGATGGGATTTTCACTTTTGTAATTGGTATGCAGTTAATACTACAACGTGCCTTTATTATCTATCAGCAAGCAAAAGGGTTAAAATTTTCTTTTGTCATTTTCTCTTAATTATTGTTATTATTATTATTATTTGTTTACAAGAGTTCTTTTTTGAGATGTTTGCTATTACTCAATCGAAATTTCATGGATTTCTATTAGTTTATTTGTCTATTATTGAATGGGTTTTTATTGTTCATCTTCTTCAAGCACTCCATTTTTTAAAAAAAAAACATGTGATTGGCATTATTTTTTGTTTCCCAAAATTTCAATATTTTCATAGAGAAGATAATTAAGTCCTTTACCTTAGACTTTGAAAAACTTAGGAAGATTTACATACATCAATTCCTTTGTATTTACATACCTAACACCTAAACTTTAATTTTTAGATACATGCCACCTTACCTATGGATGAAAAGTTGTATTTGAAATTTTAAAATGTGAAAAATAAAGTTTAGGTGTTAGATATGTAAATACATAGGAATAGGTTGGTATGTATGTAGCCCCAAAAACTTGATGACAGTTAGGTCAAGTTTAATGAGACTTGTCCAAACCTTCTAACCTGTCTCTGTTAACACATTCAATATTTTAGTGTGATTTTGAGTGAAGTGAGATTGCAGCGCATGCGGCTTGCACTGCCATGATTTTAGCTAACGACTGGTGCAGCATTGTTTGGCAAACTGACCCTTTTTGTTGATCGTATGTTTGTCTCGTTTAGTGGATGACCGCAATCTGCGGGTAGCTGATTTTGCTCAGTTTTGGGCAATAGCAAAGGTATTTTTCTTTCTCTTATTTGTGAAATTTGTGAGTATTTCAATTCATGTTCAGTCGGCTCTGAATGTTAATTGCATTGCATGGAATATGTTCTGGTTCGAAGTTTAGAAAACAAAAAGTGACAATATGAAATTTTTTATTACACTTTGTAGGGTCTCTTACTTCACTTTGAAATTATATTATGGTTTATATATAATATACCACTGTTTTTATGATGTTAAATTATTTAAGTACCTCCTTTGAATAATAAAGAAAATCTACTTGAACTCCATTGTGCTTTGTTTTTTTTACCCAGCGTTCTATTTTTAAGGTATTGGATAATCATTTGCTGGTCAATTCTGCTCATTGTTGTTTGAATCTGTTTGTGCCCTTGTAATAAATTATTGAATAGCAGTTGGTGATCGATGCAATTTTACATCTAGCTATCTTGTCATCACCTTATTTAACTACCAAAGGGATATTGGAAATGCTTGGCTATATTGGATGGTATGGAAGAAGTGAAACACAATGAGAATATATCAACCAACTGATTATCAAATTGACATTTCCTATAAAAACACAATTGCTCGAAGTGTTAATTGCAAAAATGATCTGTCCGGTTGTCCGTTAATGGTTAGTCTGTTGATCAGGGCATTGCTTACCAATTGTAACATAGATCTTTTAAGGCATGCGAGCAAAGTGGCAATTACTCTACTTTATATTTTCATAATGTTTTAATCAATGAAGTTTATATATCATCTAATGTTTTTCTTTGCTGCTTCATCCTTGTAGGACCTTTTTTTTTGTTAGTTTAAATAGGCATAATCTTGTTAGAGCTAGTTTTCGCACATCTTTGCATCATTTGTTCATGGGATAATATTCTTGAAAATGGTGAAGTGTGTTCGTAAACTCTGTTTCTGAAAGATCTTATCTTCTTTGGTTCTACCGTTGTATGATTTAAAGAACATAAATATAAAACGATGGATATCTAGTTAATTTATAGGAATGCTGGACAACTCCTTGTCGCACCAGAAACCAAATATTTTGGCAACCTATAGTTGCTTTCTGGTGGGATAAGGCTATGGATGGAATGAATCAAAATAATGCTTACATAACTTTTTCATGTCCACACATTTGGGTTGCTTTAGGTTTATTTATCTGCTGGTGCCTTGTAGCCGAAATGAACCTTCCTACATTGGTATTGCATGTATTTTTCTCAAAATGTTCATAGCTATGTAGTTTGGCATGCCACAATTTCGTTTTCTTATCACATGCAGAAAATATTTCTTTCAGCTGACAGATGCATAAGATGAAGGAAGATTTACTACCACTCAATTCTTATGTATTTGCATATCTAATACATAAACCTCAATTTTTACATGCATGCCACCTTACCCATGCATAAAAAGTTGTATGTTATTTTTTAAAAGTTAAAATGATGGTATTTTTTATGTGACATGAAATATTTGGGTGGTATAAATGTAAAAAAAAAGTAAATTATAGGTGTTAGATATGTAATACTAAGAATTGGGTGTTATATTTGTAAATGCTCCAATAATAAAATATTATGAGCTCAGACCACATCTTCTGAGACACAATGGATTTTACTATTGCATGGTAGGTCTATGGTTGGAAATGGGGAGGTTTTTGTTTAAGGTCAAAGGGTGATATCCTGAGTGACAAGCTATTATTGTCAGGTGATCCATGTGCTGTGAATTGCCGGAATGCAAGATTTTACCATGACTTCGCTATATTTTCTTGTGAATTTGTGAAAATTCTATTCTCTTTTGATACTGCCATTTTTCTTGAGAATTTTGGGATAGTTTGTAATTCAGTTTAAGAATGCAACTGCAAATCATGATCACAAACAAGACGATGGCACTTCTTATTTCTATAAATTCATCCTTACATCAATATTTCAGAAATATGTTGACTATTTGATAAACCATGTCATTTTCTTAAAGGGGTTGAAGACTCGTCAATCATGTAGTTGTACATTGTGCCCCCTTCAACTGGTGGCTTTTTAATAAATTTAAACCACCTTCCCAGAGTGGAATTCAAATTGGTTTTGATATCTAAAAATTTGCCTATTTCTACCCTGTTCAAGATTCTTCTCTTCACAAGATGATTAACCCAGGCTTTATCCTTACGTATTTTAAGTATTGTACATTTCCTGTTAATTTTCTGTGTTATTATGGACCTTAATTGATCAGTAGATCCATGACAAATCTTAAACATCGCAATAAGTTTGTTTTTAGTTTTCAAATTAGCTTGACTAATTGTTATGCAGTGCTGCACATTTTGCTATTCTTTTTAAACTGTTTTCACTTATTCTTTTGAAACATTGTTGTGACAGAGGTCGGGTTATGAAGTGTACGTGCTCGAAGCTACATATAAGGATCCGGCGGTGAGCTTTTGATTTTTAATCTTTCTTCTATCATGGCTTTTAGGCTTGACTGTGATTGTACTTGCACATAGCCAAATATACAGAAGCACCAACATACTACACAATTCTCATGTATTTACGTATCAAACAATTAAACTTTGAATTTTGCATTTATCGCACAAAAATATTTTATTTAAATAGAAAACACTGCTATTGCTAACTTTTAAAATTTGAAATAGATCTTTTCAAACATAGGTAAAGTGCTATAATAATAAAAATCAAACTTTAGGTGTTAGATATGTACTATATATGAATTGTGTTGTATGTTTGTAAATTTTCCTTTTTATTTTAATAACAACATTATCTAAAGCTGCTCATTGTTTGTGTGGAGGTAATTTCAACCGTCAAGGG